GGATGAGAGGGTGAGTGATTAGTTCACTCAATCCATCAATACATGCCTGCCTCACTGGGGCTCTGGAGTCTTAGGGCGTGGAAATGAGAACACAGTCCATGTGATGTCCCTGGAGGGGTGACATGTCAATTGCCAGATCAGTTCCATCCTGCACATGGGTGGGAAGATGGTGTTCATGGCTGGGACACCAAACACTGTAACAGACCATAAACCCAAAGGTCAGGGCCACAGTATGAGTGCAAAGAATGGGGGAGGGGAGAAGCTCACATGGGATGGTAGATGTAACACATGGTAGGTGCGCAGATCTATAGGAGTAACATCTCGAATACCTCTGAAAGCTTACAACGGAGTATTATTCATAACCCAGAGTCCTTCCTCTGAACCGTATCTTGGGTACCAGGATTTCCTTATGACCAGATCCCAGCAGACAAAAGAGAAGCAGACAAAAGGGAAACCACTGGGCAAACAGCTGTGACTTAAAAAGTTAGAATTTATTATGGAAAATCTCCCTGGTATTTTTTTGTTTTGTTAACTGGTGCCTGGTGGGTGGTAGCCAGTCATTGGCAAGCACACAAGATGGGGTGCTCTGCCTGCCTTCAGTGCAGCCAATAATTGCCCATAAAAGGTCCCCCCTACTTCTTCCCTTCCTCCCTTCGGACTTCATGGGTGAGGTCGGGGGCTCGTGAGGTCATTCGCACCCCCCACCCGCCCAGGTATGTAGGCTTTACAGTGATTAGGGTGACAGATTCAACCATAATCCACACTAACACAGCCCCAATTTGGGGGGAAGCCAAGGTTGCCAGCATGTGAGAGAAGAAATTTACACAAAATACAAGTATATATCTATTTTTTGCAACAAAAGAAACTATTTATTTGGAATATGCATTACCAGTACAAATTAGGAGACTGTAAAGCCTACAGCATGTTAGCATCATTAGAGAACACAAAAGTTCAGTTGGAATCAAAAGGGACAGAAGCCCCTGCTCTCACAGAAGCAGAAAAGCTTAAACTTTCAAAACCAAAACAGAGCAGAACTTTGCAGGTTTATACTCTGAGTAAGAACAGGGGAGGGGAGCGGGAGAATAAAACCAACAACCGAAGGGAAGCACTTCAAAATAATTGGAAAGAAAGGAAGTAATAAGAGAGAAAAGGGGGAAAACATTGAATGTTTTATTCATTTTAACAAAAGGAAAAAAGAAGTTTACAAAAAATAAAAGAGTCCAGAAAGCTTTGAGCTGGGTGTTGAAACCATAAAGGTGATGTGAAAAGCTCATCATTATTTTGTTGACTCAGGAGCAGGCGAGCAGGTGTCTGGGGCAGAAACACCTGTGGCGCACTGTTCCACGGTCCCGCGTCTTTGCCTTCACTTCTCTTATGTTCTAGGTGCTTTCTGGACACCTAATCATTTGTTGAATGAAAGAGGTTTAAAATAAGTTTCTTCCAGAGAATACTGCTTTCTTTTCTCCTATGACTAATAAAAACATTCCAAATCAAGCCGATTTAACCATTTGCTTTTCAGTAGCCAGAGGGTAATTAAGAGGTATGCTGTCAAGGCATCAAACTCCACCTCTCAGTGTTAAAAGGAGAGCACTGAGTCAGGCTCAGGTTCTTGACTCTTCATCCAAAATTGGGACTCAAGGGATCAGCAGGCCGACTGACCCCAGGGATGGCCTCCTGGATCTAGTCTAGGTAGCCCGTGGCCCATCACACCAGGACTTCTGTGGGATGCTTCTGGAAGAAAAAAAATCCTTTCTAGTTGTGAGAGGGCTCCTGGAATGTTGTTATTAATCAAGAAGAAAGAAAAGAAAGCACTTTGTCGTGACATTCACAGTCAACAAAGGCAAAAAGGGTCTCCCTACCTTATCAAAGGTCTCCTGGGCCGATTCCTTGAATTTTTAAAGGGCCAAAAGGAGAAAACCCAGGTCCCTGACGGTGTTTTTTCTCAGAGACTGCCCCACACTCTGGAAATGCAGGTGAGTGATGGGACATCCGCATGGGCTTCATCTTTGTCTTTGAGGTCAACTGAATTCTGGAGCGAAGTAGAAGTACAAGGAAACTGCCTACTCTACAAATGTCTTTTTTTCACATCACCTCGTATACATATGTAAGGAATAAAAACAGCAAGATCGTAATCCTGACAATTAAAAAAAAAAGCCCCCCCAATAAAACAACCAAAAATAACACAAAACATAATTTTTTTTTTTTTTATATTTTAAAGAGCAGGAATAAAGAAAGAAAAGAATTTATTTCTGGGTCTCAAAGTTAATAAACATAACGTGTTAGGTTGTACCTATTATGCTCACTATCCCAACCCTTTTTTTTTTTTTAGTTTACAAAATGAATTACTGTCACTTTTAAACATTGTGAAACAGGAAATGAATGTGCACAACTCGACACTTTTCTAGCATTCTTGAACTAATTCACAAATGCAAGAAAATAAAAGAAAAATGGGGGAAATGATTAATGTAGGTAGTTTGGTGTTAAAAACGAATGCAGGAATGATGTGTACTGTCACAGAAAGAGGGGGAGCCCCCCATCCTGTTTTGCGTGCTATGAGGGTCATTTTTAAAATTTTTATTATAAACACTATTAAATTCAGACCGCTTTTTTGGTTTTTTTTTTTCTTTATCTGAATATACAAGAACATTCATTATAAATGTTCATCATCAATACTACAAAGAACGAGACACAAGTCGCAAGAAACAATGGAAAATGTTAATAAAGCTGAAAGAATTGTTGAGTATTTTTTTGTATTTTTTTAAGTTTTTTTTAAATTTGAGTTTCTGTAGTTTCATCTTTTTTTGGTATCGAAGTCAGGTTTTTCTGGGCAGAAAAATAAAACTCAGAAGGAAAAGGGGGGGGGAAGGTATGTGAGAGAAGGCAACCAGCAAATAAAGAACCACCACCACAGCAAAATTAAAAAAAAAAAAAAAATGTAAGGAAGGTGCCACTTGGCAAAAGTACTGTGTCAATTCCACGTGATGGGGAGGAGTTAGGGGTGAAAAAGAGATTGAGATGGAGAGTTACAAGGTGGGCAATCCCAAGGGCTAGTATTACTCAGGGGAAATCGGCTGCCAGGGACAACGGAACGCTCCCACTCCCATTAGTAAATGCAGGAGTCCTGGGGCACATTTTGGTATCTGTAGGATTGACCTAATATGAATTCCCAGGGAGCTGTATTTCCAGAGGCACGCTCTTTCCATCCCCTTCCTTCTGCGGCCAGAGTTCCCATGCCTTACTTACTGTCGGGGGATCTGGTGACTGCCATGTTGGACGTGACAGTGGGCATGGGGGTAGGTGGTGGGAAACTGTGGAACAGAGAGGTCTGAGTGGGGAAGATGCTGGGCGAGGTGAGAATCAGTGCAAACTCCTGTGGGGAGAGAAACTGTCTGCAAATGTAGCTCTGCTCTGTTTCAACAACTTAAAATGGCAATCGTTCCATCCAAATCTGGAATCATTCTTCCTGTTGCCAAGAGAACCCTTTCGGGTCTCTTCTGTACTTTGCACAGTCAGGCATGTGATCCAGCCGTACTCCTGCATGGGTAGTTCAGATCCCTGACACTGAACAAGGTTCTCCAATGGCTCCACGACTACGGAGTTGTCACAAGATGGCTCCTGCCAGGAAGCCCCTCGACCGGGCTCTTTTCTGATTGGGGCACAGGTCAGTAGACACAGTCTTTCCACTGCTCTTAGTCATCAAGGCATAATTCCATCTTGCCAAAGATTTACTTTTTGCCTTTCCTTCAAATTCACACACCTTCCAGTTTCTTAGGTAACCCCTCTCCCCAACACGCACACAGAAGCAATTTCTATTCATTGCTGTAGCACCATGCACAATTTCCATGACCTCGTTAGCGGGCCATCCTTACCCCTCAGGGTCTTCTCTCTCTCCCACAGGCCTCTCAAGCAGAGTAGATGTGACAAGGGGCTAAGTACTTACAAGGCCACGTACTGGGTTCAAGTACAAACTAAGAGAACCGGGTCCTATTTTTCTAGTGTGGAGGCTTATCTCTAGTCTATGAAACGAAACAGACCAAAACCAACAAAAAAGCAACAACAATAGCCCTTCTTCTCTTTGTCATCACGGCAATGACATCAGGGTATTGATAGTAACCAGAAGTTGGAACAGGAAAACCGTATGCTGCCCCTCCATGGCACCAACCAATTTATCTCAGGGATGACACTTCCTCTGACTTCCCATTTACAGATGGGATAGGAATAAAATCAATTCCTTCAGTCTCTCACAAGCCTCTTGGTAAGCCAGGCATCATAATCCCCATTTCACAGATGAAGAAAACGAGGCACTGAGAGATCTGACCACCTCCCACTTATAGTCAGGTTACAGAGCCACCATCTTTATCGCGGGTGCAGCTGGCTAAGAAGAATGTAAGCTCAGGTGACACTACAGAATAGCTTTCTAGGAGTACTCTCCTCTCAGATATTCCCAGGGAATGAAAGTCACCGTGACAATTTCCCTGAAAATATCACCCCTTCTTTCCCCATCGCTCCCAGGTCTTCAAATTAAGCTAGCAAAATTTGCCTAAGCTGTGTCCTTCTCCAACCCCTCCAGAACAGGAATGTGGTGCCATGATAACACTTTGGATAACTAATGCAACGCCCCTCATATAAAAACAAAAACCAGAACAGAACCAAATCCATTACAGGCATTTTAAGTACTGTGTGTGGCTCCCTGAGCGCTCCAGAGGTGGCAGCAACAGGACAGCGGAGGCGGCCAACCTGGCCTCCTCCATCATGATCAAGTCCCGTGTATGTCGTTCTGGTGTGTGGCCATGCTGGGGGGCTGCAGGTCCTGGAAGCCCCAGGCACATACTGTGTCTGTGTCGGTGGCCTTCATTCAGAGTTGCTAATTCTGAACTCTCCTGGGCTCACGAGGCAAATTGCTACGGTTGCTAATGTGGGTCTTTGCAGATGGCACGTGACTGATCGGGAGGAAATGAATGTTTGAGGCCGCGCATGCGCTGACATGCGCCTGGGTGTGCACATACACGTGTGTGTGTGTGTGTGTGTGTATGTGTGTGAGAAGGTTTAGTTGAAGGGTTGCAGGATAAGAACCTTCTACTCCTTAGTGGTTTATTCATCACCATGCCCACTCAGATCTGGCTTTGCAGTAGGTTCAGGACATTGCTTACTATGTGTGACGTGGTCTCCAAAGACTGTGCCTCTGAAACCAAGAGCTGTTAGGAGGAAGAGGAGGAAGCCTCTAAGAATTCTGCCCTTCTTGTTGCTTACGTCCTCTCCTGCTGCTCGACTTCCTGCCTGGGGATCAACCTAGCGGACCTGAGACCGGAAAACGTGGCACCTTTAGAAGCCCAGCTACGGCAGTCCCCGGGGCACAGCTGGGGCTGGGAAGGAAGAGGAGGAAGGGTTCTAAGCAGAACCAGCCCAGGGAGGGAGCAGCAAGAGGGGGCAGGGGGCCTGGAATGAGTGGGGCAACGTGGCGCATTCCTGCTAAGAGGTAGTGAGAGTAAGAGAAACAAGAGAAGGGCTGCCTGTTAATAGAGGGAGCGAGAGATCCGAGTGAGGTAAATTTGGCTCCTCAAACCACCAGCATGAAAACATACAAACACGTTTATTATTTTCTTTGTATTTTCTTTCCTCTTTAAATTCCTCTAATTGTTGAAAATACCCTTCTGTGATGTCATTGAGGGCAGGGACCCAGGGAGTCTAGGACAGAGGGGGGAGGGGGCAGGAAAGATGGCGGACACCAGGCTGACAGCTGGAGGCAGGGAAGGGTGGCTTCTACCCAGAAAAAAAAGGGAAGAGAGTATAAAGAAGTGTCCAGATTGGCTGAAATAGCATCCCAAAGAAGAGAAGAGAAGGAGACTCTTATTGTGTTTGCTGATTGCTTCGACCTCCAGTCTGACCGCTTCAGCGTTGGGAGAGAAACCCTCCCTCCTGGCCCTGTCCCGACTGGGGCACAGGGTCAGCCGGGATGCGATTGCTGGGAGATCAGTTGGAGGTATCAGAGTGAACACTGCCAGGGCCTTCTGTAGGGGAGGTCACTGATGAAGGGGTAGTAGCATCCTGCCAACCTCCATTAGCCTAGAAGGGAAAAAGGGAGAGAAGTCAGTCCTCTGAGATCGGGTGGCCATTTTGAGCAGACAATGACAACAAGGCAACTTGTGTAATGGGCCTAGCACAGTGCCTGGCACATGGGGACACTCCTCAGTGGGGCAGCTGATCTTGGGGTTGATAATACTCCCTCCACCCTCAGATGAGTATGGGTCCTCCCACTGAGCCTTTGGACACAAGGTGAATACCTCCCACTTCCCAAAGATACTTTGAGTCAGTCCAAGCCTTCAGATGATCACTGTGTGGGCTCTAGTGGAGTGACAGGTCAAGGGAACCCAAGTTCTAGTTCTGAGTCTGGCAAGGTCTAGCTGTTGACTCTGGCGAAGCCTTCCCCCTCTGTGGCCTTGGGTTCCCCTTCAGAAAGATAAAAAGGTTATCCAAATGTTTTCTAAGGCCTTTCCCTGCATGTTCTGCATGTTACGGGATTCCAGGCACCTGTTCTGTGCAAGGTTCTGTACTACTTGCTCCTGGGTATATAACGATGAGTGAGAGACAGCTCATGTCCTCAAGGAGGGGGATAAGACATGCATATGAATGAACTATAATTCAAGGCAAAGCCTAATAATGTTACAGCCCCGTTGTTATGACAGTTCAGATGAAGGCAATATCCCATCTTGGTGGAGCATCAGGGAAAGCATCAGGGAAGAGGTAACTCTTCGAGGTGAGCCTTGAAAAGTACAGAGGGTGATTCAGGTGAATCAAACAGGTGAAACAGAGGTAGACTAAGGACTGGTCTGCATAAATATATCTAGAGAGGTGGTGAGCTAGGAAGCTGTAAGTATGATTTACATTTATAGACCATTTTTCTAAGATTCTAAATCCAGAAGCATCCAAACAATGATACTGTTCTAAAAGGATTTGTTTTAATGAACACCCCTGGCCAAAAATATCCCAACCTTAAAATAGTTGAAGAATGATTTGTTGGCAGTGGTTAACTCATGAAACATTAATTCATGATTGTTTATGTATTTGAAAGCATCAAAACAGAAGTGTGCTAAAATGCCTTTCTTCCCCTAACTGCTGTGTTCCTTTGAAGTTAATATACCTCACCTCTGAAAGTGTTCATGTTGAACAGAGCAGGTCTTAGGCATTTCTGGTAAATTATTTTCTACTGTAGTCTCCACTCATTTTATTCTGAAACACTTGGGGTACATGGGACAGGTACTATTATTGCCATCTCGGAGGGACCACAGCTTGTACTCTAGCATAACCCATGGTACTGAGGAGCATGCTTGACACCTACTTGCTGGCAAACCTGTGTTCATGTTTCATTCGTAAGAAAGAAGAAGTGCGAGAGAGAAAAGCAGACTTCTGGCTTATGACTGAGACACACAGGCTTCTGAACCTCTGAATCTGGGCTCCTTTTTCTCTGCCCTTCTTATCCACTTGGCTTCCCCACCCCCCCACTGGCTCACCCAAATGATGCTCCAATTTCCCCAGGAAAGCCAGGCGCTGAATTCATAGCAGCTCTTACCAGTTACCTCTGCATGAGGATAGATTTTTTTTCCCCACACCTCACTAAAGAGCAGGTCTGGATACCAAGAGCACAAAGGGTCATCCTGGGCAATGCCAAGGGCATTCCACCTCAATCGGGGACCCATGAATAATTGCTCAAAACTCCAACGCTCCATCTCCTGAGGTAGTCAGGCAGCTCCTTCTGCCCCCTCTCCCTGCCCAGCACATTTCTCCTGCTGTTGGTGAGGGATCAGAAGGGGACCAATGAGGGGGAAATGGGAATTCTTTCTTTGCTATCTTTCTGGGGCCATGACTCTGTAGCATGATCAGAATCAAGAACAGAATTAATTCCGTGTCCTAATGCAGGCTGATCACAGGGGTGACAGGAGCTTAGTCTCCCTTCCCAACCAAGAACACATATTCTGGTGCCATTTTAGGCAGATGGGGAAGAGCCATTATATTTATTTTACCCCAAAGAAAATCCCTTCATGTCGCTTATCTTTTCTGATTACAAAAGATAAGCTCATACAGTATTTTTGAATAGAATATTTGCAATTCTATATGCGATGTAATATTTGGACAAGAGAAAAAGCATGAAACACACAACGTACAACACCCGTAATCCTACCACTCAAAGACTAACAACAGCTGTTAGCATTCTGATACCTGTCTGTCTCAATTGTCCTTTTTTATATGTGTGTGTTTCCCAGAGAGACAGATGGGTCAGTAAGTAAATAGCCAGCTATGTGGGTGTATGTGTATGTATGTGTTTGCTGAGCGGTACAGGTTTTTAGGAAAACCTGACAGAGGTTCCTTAAGTGTCATGATGTGGAGAGTAAAGTGCTGGTAAAAGAGGAAAAAACTCACGTATCTTAGGATCGACCGGGTGGGAGGTAAGTAGATGCAGAAGATCAGGGAGGCGGTCGGCGTCCGAGGCATGGGACGCGCCACAGAGCAGTTTCCCAACCTTGCTCGTAAGGCAGCTCTATTACCATTATTTAGCCATGCTCCAATTTCATTAAAATAACAATAAGTGGTGCCCCAAAATAAAGCCATTAGTCAAGAAAATGAGCCTTGTGGCGTCTCATTAGGAGGGACCCAGCAAGGCATTCTACACGGACCAGGAGATTCCGGGAGAATCCTTTTGATTCGTGTCTGAGATGAAATAACTCGAACAGGAGACATCTGAGAAAGTTTTGTCTTCTCAGACCAGTGCACACGATGCCAGAGGGTACAGGGAACTCACAGATGGCAGAGATGGGAATTAGTTCAAGCTGATATCAAAACTGGCATTTTAATTATGCTAGTTGGCCTGGTGAAGGAGAATACAGAAGAACTTCTACTAAAAACAAATAATGTATGGTGACTAACACAACATAATAAAATAAAAAAAAATCAATCTCTTTGGCTGCCTTTTCTTCCCTCCCACTCTACCCGCCCCCCCATCAGATTGGGTGACCAACTGCTCCAGCGTGCCCAGGAGCCCCCACCCCTTGTTAACACTGAAATCCCATATTCCCATAACCCCTGCCTGCCCCGCCAGACCCAGGAACACTGAGAGGGCTGCTCATCTTCCCCCCAGGATATCCCAGCAACGATCCCCTGCTTCTTGCCACATTCAGGATACTGTGGCCTCTGGATTTCAAGTCAGAGGACAACCAGCCCTTTTCTGGAACACACATGCCCAACACTGGCACTGGGTGAAGGATCCCTTTCTCTGGAGGCGCTTTAGACCCTGGCCCAGGGTCTGCTGCCCCTTCCGCGCTGCTCACACCTCACGATCGGAAACTGCGAGCACGCCCCATGGAACCAGGTTTCCCTACATCACTCTGGCCGCTTCAGCTCTGTGGTGCCGGCTGTAACGTAAGCTGTTGTGAGGCTGCTGCGTCTTGGGAAACGGTTGACCTCGCTTACTGGCCTTAACCCTGGGGAGCGATTCCTTCCCGCTTCCTCACTGCGGGTGCATATTAAGTGGGAAACTCCGCCTTTGTGTGTTTATTTATCTCTGGGGCTGGAGCAGGGAGCGTACAGGATGGTCTTATTAGCAACCGCGCAGGGGTGGCGAGAAATAAGACACGTTTTTATTTTTCTTCCGCACCCCAACTTCTGCCTTCACTCTCCAATGCAAAGTCCCCGTTATAACAGACATGCTTACTCCAAGATGCTGACACTGGAAACGCCCAGGAGGCCTTACAGGGGTGGGAAGGTGAATTCTGCAAAACCATGTGTGGCCCTATTATCTCCACAAACATCTCTAATGGAAGAGCGTTTACATTTACACCTAGTCCTACAGGTAATTCTGTGGCCTGCAGATGCTGGAAGCAAGACCTGATCTCACATTTAATTCTATCAGAGGAAGCCTAAGCCAGCAGCAGGCTCATCCTGGGACGTCAGGGACGAGGCGGCTAATAGAATATAAAATTAGGATAACATGCAGCCGGTTTCCCAGATAAGAAAACCTGGACTTCCCAACACAAATCCAAGAAAGGTATCTGGGGACAAAGAATCTCAGAACGGAAACAACTATGTACGTCCTACCCAAATGAATTTGGCACCTAACTGATGTACACCCAACGTTGCTGGGACCGCCTCTAATGGGCAAGGCATGGCCTTCCTGGTGCAGGAGGCACAGCAAGCCCCCTATGACACCAGGGATGGAGCACTGGTGGATGGGGGCAGCCACATGGCTTCTCCTGACCAAACACGAGAACCAGGAACTGTACCCGAAGCCCTGACTTCTCTCTTGTCGGCCACCTTCCTGAGCGCAAACAGGGGCCACCTGCCTCTCCCTCGCCGCGGAGGACGCAAGGGTGCGGTGGCCGCTGGGCTGAGCCGCCAGTCCCATCCTCTGCTCCTTCCCGCTCTCCCTCTGAGCTTCCCTTAGCAGCACAAAGTTGATGCAGAGAATTCATCACCTGATGTGACAGCCCAAGCAAGCCTGGCACTAAGAAACTCTCATTTGCAACGCAGAAATGCGCTGAGGTGCCACAAACTGGCTGATGTCAGCACCAAGTAGAGCTAGATCCGCATATGGGCCAGATGCCATTACCAGAGCTGCCTTAGCGTGGGCGAGCACGTGTACGTGCCCCAGGCCGTGGTGGGGCCGGCCAGGAAGAAGCACAAAGAAACATGCATGCACCCACTCTTCCTTTCTAGGTGCGCGCACGCGCGCGCGCGCACACACACACACACACACACACACAGTACTGATCAGGGAGCCATCAGCTCACCCAGTGCGGTCACATCCTAGATCCATCACTTTTCCAGGAAGATGAAAGAACTAGGTTTTCCTGATATGCACATACTTTCCCCAACATTATACAGCGAGTGTTTACCAAAAGATGTTCAGGGGCAAAGCGATGCTGTTGGAAAGTCCCCTCAGGACAAAAAATTCAAAATTTCCCTGGGAGGTTTCACCATGGTAAGCAGGCGCATGCCTAGGCTGACAATCTCCAGCCCTGTCTCTAGCTACCACCAGAGTCATCTTTCCAAAATGTAATTCTGATCTCCCTCTT